TATATATATATATATATATATATATACACACACACACACACACACACACACACACATACATGAAGAGAGGGGGGAGAAAGCAAAATAGAAAATGAGGAAGTACAGAGATCTTTTTCAAACAGAAGAGGGAACAAAAATGGAGGGGGAAAGGGAGGGAAAGGTGACCAAAAAAAAGGGTTGAAGGGGAGAAAATGATAAAAATAGCGTTTTTGCAAATGGGAAGGGGACCAAGAGTAAAAAGGAAAAGGGATGAAGGGAAGGCCAAGGGATGAAAAAAAATTAAGATGTATTATGTGCATGTACCAACTCCCTATGACAATTACAATCATGTACTGTAAACATGTATAATAATAACAATAAATTTAAAACCAATTAAAATGTATTCATGTTAAATGAATTTAGCTTGCTATGAGCCAAAGGGGTCTTTTCTTCTCTCTTCTTTACTGCTGTCATCAAAACAACACTCTATAAGCCTAGACTTTAAATCTGCCGGCTACACCAGAAGGAATCAGTTTTAGGATAAGGACCCTAAGATATTATTTCACCAAGGTCTAGTTTTTGGAAGGTAGACTTTTTGTCTCTTTTTATGCACACATTATCTCAGATTATATTCAAGTTTGTACAGTTTTAGAAAAATTAAATACTAATGTCTCTTTAGTTTTGGATTAAAAAAAAATCAAACACTCTCAGTGAATCAGAAAGCACTCCTCTCTTCACATACCCACTTTGTGTACATATGCAGTTATATTCCAAGAACTGTAAATTGTGTCAATGACAGGGAACGCATTCATTTTCTGTGTTTAACTTAATGCTCTGGTGGGATCACCAGGTACCGATGGCAACTTCTAGACTTCTTTAAACAGAAGCATCAATCAGTACACAGACTGTAAGCATTTTGAAAATGCTATACATTAAGAAGCAAGAACTGCTGGAGGAATCACAAATATTTATTCTAAAGCAAGTCTTAGCTCACTTTTGCTCTGACTTGGGGCTTCTGCTGACATCAGTCATTGATTCAATACCCCAAGCCCATTCAAAGAGCAGCCAGCTCTTCATAATTCCAGTAGCAGTCCCCTTCTTTGCAAATGCAGAAAAATTCAAATAGAAAAACCAGAGAAGTGTTAGGCACTTGAGATTCTACAGCTGGTTATGAGTCTTCAACAAACTAAGGGAAGTTTATAAAGGTTCACCATGACAGTGTGGTGTGGCATGCTTTCGCTCAGAAACTGTGACAATAAGGGATCCATGCACTTGACCTGGGAACTGTCTTCAGCTGTAAAATCACTCACACTACATTACTCCATAGGTAACTATGTACAGCTTTCAAGGCTCAAGTGAAATCATGCGAGTGCCATTTTTTTGAATATGTCCTCTCCAAAACCCAGGTGCTGCCAATGGACAGTAGTCAGAGGTGATGAACCCATCAGGGTGCCTCCCCTGCCAGTGGGATTAGGTGTCCTTGAGAGAGCAGGTCCCTTCACCTCTCCACCATTCCCCCTGTAAGAATGCATGAGTCTCCCTCTGGAATATGTATGCAGTGTTTGGGCATTCTCTTGGAAGTGGAGACCAGGCCCTCACCAGGTGCCAGACCTACCAGCACTTTGATATTGGACTCCTTAGCCTCCAGCACTGTGAGAAATAAATTTCTACTGCTTATAAATAAACCAGTAGCAAGTATCTTACTATAGCAGCTAAAATGTGAGTGAAAGTGTTTCCAAATCCATAAATCCACAGACGCCAGGTACTAAAATCTTAAACTATTACTTAAAGGTCCAAAGTATTTCAGAAAAGCAAGAATTTCCCTCCCTGAAACTTGAAGCCTTCAGTAGGGCACTGAAGGAGGAAATCATGAAAATCAATTTTGTAATTACAGCCTTAATCTAGTGCCCAGCACAAGTAGCCCATCAACTAAATGTAACAAGATGAGTGGATCTGAATAGGGCAAGCAGGAACCTGCCAGGAGCCAGGAACACAGAAGAGCACTTTTTGAACAAGAGCACTCTTTCATCCAAACAAGACTGTACCATGATGCAGAGGCTTGCACGGGGATTCAGGCAAGTCCAATTTCAAACCCTAGCTCTGCAACCTACTGGCTGAAGGAGCTTGAGTAAGTTACTAAATTGCAAGTTGTTTGTCTATAAGATGGGAAAATAATACCTTCACTTTACCAATTGTCGTGCGGATTAGAAATCATGCATGTAAAGCATTAGTTTTAGATTCTAGAGCTGCCAAAGCAAATAAACACAAATTGGGTGACTTAAAACAGCAGGGACTTAACTCTTGCAGTTCCAGAGGCCAGCAGCTGAAATGAAGGCCCACCCTCTCTCCACAGGCAATCAGGGAGTCACTCCCTGCTTCTCCCAGCTTCCAGTGGTTCCAGGGATTGTCTGTTTTGCAACTACATAGCTTCAATCTCTGCTTCTTCGTTCACCTGGTCTCTTCTGTGTCCCTTTATGTTTTACAAAAACTCATGGCTGGATTTAGGGCCCACCTACAATATCCACGATGCTCTTATCTCAGGATCCTAATTTAATGGCATCTGCAAAAATCGTTTTTCCAAGTAAGGTCACACTCACAGGTCTTAGGGATTAAGACACAAACGTACCTCTTGAGAAACCAACCTCAAACCATGACCAGAAATAATATGAATCTGGTATAGATTTGAGTAATAATAATAATTGTTATTATCATGGAAGAAGTACAAGACTCTTCATCTCCCTCTTCTTCCTTCCTGGCATCATCCATGGTGGGCAGCAGGCTTCATTTGAATAATACATCAGAGCAATGCCATGTGAGTGACCACATTTACCAAGACCAGGTATATTTGTGCTGCAGGTGCTCCACCATAAAAATGTAAAAGAGGACCGGGGATTTAGCTCTGTGGTGCTGCTGCCTGCCTGGCAAGTGCTAAGACCTGAGTTCGATCCCCAGTACCAAAAAAATTTAAAAAATAAAAATGTAAAAGATCAAGCCTAAGAAGGAGGACTACTTGCAGCTACCACATTCTCATCTTTTGGGGAAAAATAATCTCCAGGGCTTTGACTTTCAAGACAAGGCTGGAGAGCAGAGAGGTTAGAGGGATAAAACAATTCAAGGGGCCAGGGTTTGTATCAAACAGCTTTCTATCACTGTGACAAAATACCACAGAAAGTCAATTTTAAATGAGGAAGGCTTTGGGCTGGGTATTTAGCTCAGTGGTGACACCTCCTGTCTCGCAAGGGCAAGGACCTGAGTTCAATCCCCGGTACCATTAAAAAAAAAGAGGAAGGGTTTATTTTGGCTCACAGTTTTAAGAGTTTTAGTCCATGGCCACTTGGATGCATTGCTTTTGAGCCTGTGGTGAGGCTGAACACTGGTGGAAAGCATGTGGTGGAGCAAAGCAGCTCATATCACAGTGGGCAGCAAGGAGAGCCAGAAAGACAGAGAGAGACAGAGAGACAGGCTGGACATAAGATGTGCCTTTCCAGGTTATACCCTCAGTGAGCTACTTTCTCAACCAGACCCCAACTCGTAATTTTGACCACCTCTCAATAGTGCTGAACCCATGAATGGATTAGCCCTTTGATGAGATCACAGCCTTCACGATAAATCACTTTCCCCAAGCCCACCTCTCAACATAGCAGCATTGGGGACCAAGCCTCCAACACATGAGCCTGTGGGAGATATTGCATATCCAAGCCATAACAGCTACCACTTCCCTCAGTAACAGGGGTGTAGCTCACTGGCAGAGTGCTTGCCTAGTGTGCTCGAGGCTCTGGGTTCAGCGTCCAGTATCAAAAAACAAAAGGAGGACACCTGGAAGACAGGACTCCTGAATACCTAATTAAGCCTGACTGTATGGGAAAAATATGGGAGTCACCCATCATTTGAATTTCGTGTGTGTTGGTTATTAGACACTGCAATGGATTTTTCTCATGATGGATTATGATGACAGGCCCTCTATGCAGTGGTTTTCTCCATTCACTCCACCTTCCTCACTTTAAAGATTTGCTTTTTCCCCCATTCCTTCTCCTTGCCTCTCACAGATTGCTCATGCTGTGAGCATATTCAGTTTCACTTGCTCAAGGGCTGCGGGAAGGAAAATCTTGTGTCTTAGTCATTCTCCTCCTCACTGGAACAAAATACCTGCCACCTGCAACTTGAAGGAGGGGAGATTCAGTTTGGCTCCTGGTTACAATTCATGGTCAGCTGTCTCCAAGGCAGAAAATAGCATGGCAGAGGGACATGGTGGAGAAAATGCTGCTTTTGTTTTGGTGGCCAGGAAGCAGAGAGGGTAAGAACTGGGAAGAAGATACATCCCTCCAGGTCACTCCTCCCGGGATCCTCCTCTTCTGACCAGACCCCACTCCTAATAGCAAGTCAACGATAACATCCCCACAATTCAATCACTTTCCAAAAACCCCACCTGTGGGTGCTTGAGGCTTTTAGGGAACATCTAGATATAAATCACGTCTTCCTTCTTATCTCTATCAGCAGAAATCAAAACAAAAACAGCAGACCTGCTGGGGATACAGGCAAAGTCAAATGGCTTCTGGATTCTGTAAGGAGTTTGTTGATTTCTTGGTTTCTTGGCCTTTCTTTCCTCCTCTGCCATGCCTCCTTTCCCTATGGTCCCTCCAGTCTTCCCATCGGAGGATATTTGTCCCCGAGGTTTACCTCCAATTCTCCTATCAGGGACCTATCTCAAACTCAGTCCTCTGCTAACTTCAGGTCATCCTCAGTCTTTGTCAGTAGAAAAGCCTGAAAAGTAGAGCACAGAAGCATTTCATGCTACCCTAAGGACTTACTTGGCCTCTGATTCTTTTTTTTTTTTTCTTCAGGAACTCAGGACCTTGTACTTACAAGGCAGGTGGGGTGCCACTGAGCTAAATCCCTGGCCCTCGGCCTCCGATTCTAATCCCTGGACGCTTTAATTTATGATCTTTGTCGATTATTCTCTAGCTTTTTGCCCCAACCTGTTGTCTACTCATTCAGCTCTGCACCCCCCAAAAGCTGCTTCCTCTGGAATTTATTATCTAGGCTTCATTATTAACTGAGTTAGGCTGGTAGGAGACACTGGCATGAGATAGAAAGGAGGTTAGAAATAATAGTTGAGGACTTATCTGCTCCCCTTGGTGTACCACCTGTAGCAGCCCTCTAGCATCCACCCCTAGCATCTCTCTGCAGCACCATTCCCATGGGGATTAGTTAAACCTAAAGATGGATCAAATATAGATTTATAATACATAAATTTTTATTCAATATAAGCAATATCCTCAGTTTTATGCTTCTTTTTCTTATAATGGAATAAAAATTAATTTGGATAACCTAGAATCAAGCACATTAGTAAAAGTTTTCATCTGCACAAAGGGCAAAGAAAGTTGCTCACCCGAAATTATTAATGAGCAATGATGAGATTTTAGGTGCTTTTCAGACCTTGTTTTTTATACTTTTCCAATGTTGCTGAAATTCCTGAAAAATGCTTATTATTTTCCAAAAATACTACTTTTCTAATTAAGAACAGTTCTGGCCAACGGATATAGCTTCATGGTACAGCATTTGCCTACCTTGGGTTCAATCTCCAGCACCGAAAGAAAAACAACTTTCTACAGGGTGGCTGAGAACAGGAGGATTGCCTGGAGTTGGAGGCTACATGGTGTGAACTATGTAGTGAGTTAAAGGCCAGCCTGAACTACATAGTGCGACCCTGTCTCAGAAACCAAATAAATTAATAAAGACAGAGAGAGAGAGATTCCATCTCAAGGCTGAAAAGGTGATTATTGTCAGTATATCTCATTAATTTAAAAAATTCCTTAAATATTCCACTCCTTTGTTGACTGGCTTGAGTAAAATTCTTTCTAGGGTAAATGTAGTGGGAGGCAGACATAATCGTCCATGTAAACCAGCTTTCCACTCCACTAGTATAAATGCTATGTGTGTTAACGTAATAACTGCAAAACTCAACTTAGTATTGGACCAGGGATTTAGCTCAGTGGTTCTGCCACCTGCCTTGAAAGTGCAAGGTCCCGAGTTCAATCCCCAGTACCAAGAAAAAGCAGACAAAACTCAACTCAGTATTAAGAGATATGTCTGTGGCAGTACTATCATGCCCTAAATTATAGTTAGTTATACCCTGGTTATATTTGTCAACTAAATTTAGGGTTTTTAAGAATACATTCCAAGCCAGGTGTGGTCGCACACACCTGTAATACTACTTGGAGGCTGAGACAGGAAGATTGCTGTGGGTCTGAGGCCAGCCTGGACTACATAGTGAGTTCAAGACCCTGAACTACACAATGAGACTCTGTCTCAAAAAACAAAAAGGACTCACTCCATGTGGTTTATGTAGATGAACTTTGAATCCTAGTAGGTTAGAATCCGGGCTCTCCCACTTTCTAGCTAGAGACCTAGTGTAAAATAAAGACCATCAGTTTACTTCATTTATGAAAGAGGAATAATATCATCCTACCTATATTTTAGGATTTTAAGACAGTTAATATACAATAGTAAATGATTACAGTACACAATAGGAATTTGACAAATGAAATCTACCTGATAAAGTGTTTAGAAGTGTTTACCCAAAAGAGTTCACCAAACTTTTCTCCTGCATCTTATTATTTAAATCATTGAATATCCTTGGATGAATAATCAGAAGACAGAAAAAGTAAAAGTAATATCTAAATCACTCTTGAACAAAATCATATGTAAGGGCCAGGGATTTAGTTCAGTGGCACCTCACATGCCTCACAAGCTCAAGGTCCTGAGTTTTGATCCCTGGTACCAAAAAAAGAAAAAGAATAAGAAAAAATTCATGTAAGAGCTGGGCATGGTGGCACACACCTGTAATCCCAGCACTCTCAAGTTTGAGGCAGGAGGATTGCCTTGAGTTCAAGGCCAGACTGGGCTACATAATGAGTTTAAGCCCAGGCTGAACTACAGAGTGAGACCCTGTCTCAAAAAAAAAAAAAATCCAATATGAAATAGGAAGAAAAAGGCTAAAGATGTAGTGGAAGTGGGAAGGGTAGGGGAAAGGAAATAAGGGGAAAGAAAAATATGAGAAAATGAAAAAAATGGAAACAAAGTCTTAGGGTGGAGGGGGTGGAGGACAGAGGGGTATGGGGAAAAAATGAGAACCAAGACCTGCCATGTAAAGGTACAATATCCCAATGGTGAATGTAACTGTACTGTATACCTAAAAAGTACCAATACACATAATGAAAAAAAACTCATGCCAGGGATTTAGCTAAATGGCACTGTTACTGTCTTGCAAGCACAAGGTCCTAAGTTTGATTCCCAGTACCCCCCAAAAAAATTGCATATGTAAGCAAAAATATAACCATTTAAATTTATTTAGTTACCCCTTACATACTGTGTATATATTATATTTGTGTAAATGAATATAAGGCATGCATGAACATATAAAATGCTCATTTGCTTTTACCTGTGATGGTTTCTTTTTTCTTCTATTTTTGTCTTCTTTCTATTCCCTCCCATTCTGTATGGATTTGGGCTAACTTCTCTCTCTACTTTTTCATCAGGAGAACAATCTTTGCTATGCAAATGTTTCACAAGACTAGCTTTAGTATCTTCTCAGAATACACTGTTTGACATCCTCTGTGTGGATGTCCAGATCACATTGAACTGGATATGCCCAAAGTTACATTTCTCCCAAACCAGCACCCCTACTTCTGAGATTCTCATTGCTAAGACCTCAAACCCAAGCTCGTTTTGATCCTTCCTTTTCTGACATCCTGTATTCACACAGCTCATCTTCAGGCCTCTACCCTGATAGTCTAATCATCCAGTCCCTCCTTCCCATTCCCCCCAACTCACAGATTCTTACCCTGATTTCCATGAAAACCTAAGTGGTTTCCCAACCTCCAGTCTCCTCTCACTACAATCTAGTCAGCTTAATATACTTGGAGGAATCTTCCTAAATTAAAAAGCAATAATTTACTTTCAGTCTCAAAATCTCCCATTGCAAAACAGATTAAATATAAACTTATGCTGGCCGTCTGGGGCTCTCTACCACATAACATCAAGTTATTGTTTAAGCCTAGTTGGCCTCTCTATGCCTTTGTCCCCAGGGTTGTAAAGAATGGTTCCCCAAAGCCAGATTTAGCTTGCACATATAATTTTCTTTGATTTACACAGTGGCTTTATAAATTTTGAATGAGTTGCTTACTTAAAATTAATTGCTAATATCTATATATTGGAAGGTTTCAAAAAAACTCAGATTCTCATTTTTTTATGAAAAGTTGCAATATCTGGCAACATTAGACTCACATGGCAAAGAGAGCTGAAGCTAGGCAGCCAAGGCTCTTTCGAATGCAACAACATGTCCCAATTTACCACAGCCTTCACCTGATTGAGTCACACAATCTGGTGCTGGCTTAGTCCCTGTTGTAGTCAGGGTTTGCAAGGGAATAGATTTGATACAGGACACATAATTTACAGGATTATTTTATAATATTCACCCAAAAAGTTAAATGCAGAGGAGTGCAAGAGATCTGTCCATACTCTATAGAAACCTGAAGAATCCAGTCAAGGGCCTGGATCCCACAGCAATGTCCAGCACAAGTCCAGCTAAAGGCATAGATTCTAAGGCAGAATCCTTCGTAAGTCCAGCCAGAAGCCTAGACACCACCCCCACAAGGCAATGTCTCATGCAAAACCACGTCAAGGCTCTGCATCGGCAAAGCCCAAAGGACAGGGGTGGAAGCTAGAAAGTCTGTGCCAATGAGTAAAGGATTTGCACCACCAAAGTGAGAGTTCTGAACTGGAACCAGGAAGTGACACACAAGGTGAAGACCCGAGCTTCTCTGACAATGAGAACAGCCCAGTTCGTATCAGGAAAGCCAGCCGCAGCAAGCTTCTCCAAGAAAATCAGCAGTATACAATTTTCCCTCCAGTTCTCTTTCTGTGCCATTGGCAGTGATTCTCAGATGGCCCATCCATGCCCAGAACCACACCAACTCAGCTCAGCTAGGCACTCCGTGTTGGCGGTTAATCCACTATGGTCTCTGCCAGCGTGTGAATTAGTTTTTGTTGGGGTTTTTTTTTTTTTTCATCAAATTGACGATTTAATCTTTTTTTCTAAGTTTATATTCTAACTTCACCTACAGTAATAGCTCAACAATCATAACTCATAGAAATAACAGCAAAGATTAATTCATTACTTTTATAGATTGAGGAAATGGTCTTAAAATCTGTTTGGATAATGATTAGCTCCATCTTATTAAACTAGAAAATATTCATTTTTCCCTTCTTTCTTGTCCTTTTCTCTGCTTTGTCCCTCCATTCTTTCTTTTTTTTTATTCATAAATTTTATTTTATCTCACTGCCGCCCTCAAGCCCACTCCCCTCCCTATGTACAAGAGCTTTGTTTCCGTTTTATCCTCCTATTTTCACTTTTTTCTTGTCCTTTCCTTCCTTTCCCCCTCCCTCCTCCCTTGTTCCCCTTCCCATTTGAACACTTTCTTCCCATTTCCCAGCATCCATTATACATCTCAGTCCTTATTTCCACATTCAGTTTCTCACACCAGAGAAACAATGCGATATTTAAACGTGGGTCTGATTTATTTCACTTAAGAGTATGGTTTCAAGGACCATCCATTTAGCTATGAATGTCTCCACCCCATCCTTCTTTATGGCAGAGTAGAGCTCCTTCCTATTAAACACACACACACACACACACACACACACATCACACATATCTTCTTTATCCACTCGTCATTTGTGCTGTTTCCAAGATTTAACTATTACAAACTGTGCTGCTATAAACATGGGTGTGCGTATATCACTGTGGTATGATGTTTTTAATTCTTTTGAGAAGATACCAAGAAAAGGTATAAGCTGGGTCAAATGGGACCTCTAACCCTAGTTCTTTGAGGTATCTCCACAATGATTTCCACAGTGCTTGTACCAGTCTACACTCCCACCAATAGTACAGAAGTGTTCCCTTTACTCCACAGCCCCTCCAGCATTTGCTATTGGTTAATTCTTGATAGCAGACATTCTTTCTGGAATGACATGGAATCTCAGCATTGTTTTAATTCAGAATGTGAATTTGTGAGTTCAGAATGCTCTATACTACCTAGTGTTCCTTCCAAGTGCATAATTCCCAAATGCAAATTACACCTTTGCTTGCATTGTTCCACCTTTCTAGAAATACCCTCCCTTTCCATCTTTCCTGTTTTTAATGCCCATTCAAACACCATGTTTTCCATCCTCTGGGATCTCTCCTGTCCACACAGTGGAGAGGCCCTGAGGTAGCAGGAGAGTCCAGGGTGGGTAGCAACCTCATTTGCCAGCTTCTGAAGTTCTATAGTGAGAGGCCCATTGTTGCCACATATCTGAGACAGGATCTCCCCTCTTGGTTTTATCAGCAAACTAAACAAATATTATTTTCATATGGCTGAGTAGTTATATCACAACTGTTTCCAAACTCAATCAAGAAAAAAGACCTTCTAATCCCAACAATAAAGACTTACTCTCCCCTGAATCTTTTGTAGCAACCAGCAAAATTCATTGCACAGAAGACTAGAAGATACAAAAACAATAGGCAGTTAGGGCAAGACCCTGAGTAACGTGAGATAAGCCCTGGGAAGATGGGGTACAGTGGGAGTCTGCCCTCCCGTCAGGGGCCTAGCTAAAAAAAGCCAACTACACTGTTTCATTGTTTCATACTCACCCCAAAGGCCACATATAAACTCCTGGACTTAGGCTCTCCATGGCCTCTTCTCTTGGAGCCCTTCTCAGCTAGAGAGCATGTTTCTTTGTTCTCTCTAATAAACTACACCCAGTGTGTTCCCCACTGCTGTGTCTGTCAACTTCATTCTTCATCATCCTCAGGACAAGAGCCCAGAGGTAGAAGAAAATCGGGAACCCTCAGCAAAAGACCTCAGAAGTAGGAGAAAATTGATAACACACAGACAGGTGCTCAAATATATTTATCAAAATAAATAGAAAGACGTAAACCAGAGATGATGGTACACACCTGTAATCCCAGCATTCTAGGAGGCTGAAGAAGAATAGCAAGTTCAGGTCTAGCCTGGACCCCTAGTGACTTAGCAAGATCTTGCCTCAAAATAAAAATAAATAAATAAAAAGGCTGGGTTTGTACCTAACACAAAGGCCCTGGGTTCAATCTCCAGAATTGCAAAAATAATAAATAAAAAATAGTGCATAAGCCGGGTGTGGTGGCTCACACCTGTAATTCCAGCACTCGGGAGGCTGAGGCAGGAGGATCGCTGTGAGTTCAAGACTAGCCTGTGCTACATAGCGAGTTCCAGGTCAGTCTCAACTACATAGTGAGACCCTGTCTCAAAAAACAAAAAACAAACAAACAAAAAAAGTACATAAAATTCATGGAATATAGTTTCTCGTATGCTTATGTTCCCATAATTTAACTATATCTTTACAGTATTAAAAAATAAGTTATTCATATGTAATATAAAATATTTATTTGTTATTTGCATTTCCATTTTATGTAAATCACTGCATATCATATCACATATTTTTAAAAAGAAAAGGAAAAAAGCAAATATGAACCTTAAGAGCAAATGTAGAAAGAATTACATTGAATGACATTTATCAGCAGTCTCATAGCTCTTGTTTTTTGCCTTTTTTTGATTTTTTGGTCGTTTCCTGCCGAATCGTATCATACTCCAATATGGCCATCCTGGAAAGTCTCTGTAAGAACTCAGATGGTGCTCCAGTGAGAGGGTCACTGAAGCCAGAATCTAGAGGAGAAAATCGGCTACTAAAATTAAATTAAGCACACATGAATAAGTCTACAAAATACAATGAGTGAAATATTTATTCAACAAATGACTATATAACACCACTAGATCTTTATATATCTACTTTGAAAAAGACATACCAATGCCTACTTTCTAAAATGCCTACTGTGACTATGATAGCAAGTCACTTCGAAAGATGTTTAATAAAGCTGTGGTGCATGCCTATATTTCCAGCTACTTGGGAGGCTGAGGCAGGAGGATCACAAGTTTAAGGTCAGCCTGCACAACCTAGCACCTCAGGGAAAAAAAAAAAGAGAGGGGTAGATGGGAATGTAGCTTAGTACAAGGCCTCAGGTTCAATCCCTAGTACCACCACCGTCACCACCAAAACAAACAAATAAAAAATTATAATATGATCATCTCAATCAAGGAAAACCATTTGACAAAAATTAAACTCTCACTTTGGAAGAAAAAAAGTAAAGGGAACTTCTTTCACTTACTAAAGGATAGCTACTCAAAACCTACAGTAAGCATCATTTTTAAATAAACTTTTTTATCTCATTCCCATCATCAAGCCCCCCCTCCCTATGTACAAGAGCTTTGTTTCCATTTTATCCTTCTATTTCACTTTTTTCTTGTCCTTTCCTTCCTTTCTCCCTCTCTCCTCCCTTGTTCTCCTTGCCATTTGAACATTTTCTTTCCATTTCCCAACATCCATTATGCATCTCAGTCCTTATTTCCACATTCAGTTTCTCACACCAGAGAATGCAATATTTAAACATGTGTGTCTGATTTATTTCACTTAAGAGTATGGTCTCAAGGTCCATCAATTTAGCTATGAATATCTGAAGCTCATCTTTCTTTATGACAGAGTAGAGCTCCATTGTATTAAAAAAAACACATCTTCTTTATCCATTTATGAATTTATGGGCATTTGTGCTGTTTCCAAGATTTAGCTATTACAAACTGTGCTGCTATAAACATGGGTGTGCATATATAGCTGTGGTATGATGCTTTTCATTCTTTTGAGAAGATACCAAGAAGAGGTATAGCTGAGTCAAGTGGGACCTCTAGTTTTATTTCTTTGAGAAATCTCCACATTGGTTTCCAGAATGGCCGAGCCAGTCTACACTCCCACCAACAATGGAGCAGGGTTCCTTTCTCCCCACAGCCCCTCAGCATTTGTTATTGGTTGATTTCTTGATAGCAGCCATTCTTTCTGGAGTGAGATGAAATCTCAGCATTGTTTTGATTTGCATCTCTCGAATGACCTCTTACTTAGCAGATATTAAAGGCATTCCCTTTTAAAATCAGAAACAAGCCAAAGATGTCTATTACTCTCTATGCATTCCTTTTGAAAATCAGAAACAAGCCAAATATGTCTATTATTCATTTCTACTTTAGATTTCATTTGTGGTCCTAGCCAGCTTGGAAAGAAAACTACACCCCCAAACTTTCTCCCTCCACTTAGAAAAGCGCTATCTTCTCATGAAAGCAAAGTCCTCATGACAATCTATCCCAAAAGGCCTCAGTCTTATCCCATTGGGTATTAGATTCCAACATAAGAGTGTTGGAGGGGCACATGTACCCAAATTGCAGCAGTACCCATCCTGAAAAAGCCAAAGAGTTGGCTTCCTGGAAAACAGACAGCTATGTTCATTTGGGGTAAGATGCAAAACAATGTCTTTTGTTCTAATTAGCATTTACATTTTTATTTTATACTGCTTGTTGTTTACAGGAGTTATATATGGTATTTGGAAATCCAGAGAAAGGAAATATCCAAGGAAAATTTCATGAACATTTAACTTTATGAACTCACATATACTGAACTTACAAAGTTACTATCAAGTCAATGTGACTGCTACTAAGATTGTCAGTAGAGGCTTTACTCAGTAATTTCAATTTTTATTTATTTGAAAGAACGAATGTGCTGAAAGAAGACAACTATAATTACAATAAAAAGGAAGAACAAATAAGGCTTTGAAAGTCTTAAGGTTTTTTTAAAAAAAGGAGAAAAGGTTATTATGCCGGGGATTTAGCTCAGTGGTTCCACCGCCTGCCTCGCAAGCACAAGGACCCGAGTTCTACCCCCAGTACCAAAAAAAAAACAAAGTCTTAAAATTTTAGGGAAATAATTGATACATATAAATAAAATCATTTGATAGCCTGAAGGACAAATACCAAATAACATATTGTAAGGACCAAGTTTTCAAGTCAAGGTGGGCTCCCTCTGTACCCCTTGCCCAGAACAGAGCTGCAAAAATTCCATTCTGTATAATTCCATTCTGTATGACAGTCTCCCTGTGTTTCTGTTCCTCTTTTTAGGGCAGCTCTCTGTCTTAGGCTACCTCCACCCTGTGTTTCTGTTCCACTTTTTATTATCTAAAAATGAATCTCTCCTGCTTATCCCTGCTTAGGATAATCAATAGGAACCGATCTTGGCATTAGTCAGTTTAAGATAATCACATGTTCTGTCAGAACGTTGGTACTAGTAATTTTCTATAAGTGCCCTCCCAGTACCCCTCAAATATCCAAGAATAAGCAAAAGATAAAAATAGCATCTATAAAAAGGGAGAGCTTCCCCAACCCTATATAATCCTGCTTCAAAGATAGGTCTGGACTTTCAGTCTGAAGCCGCTGTGACCGTGACACCCAAGGGTCCAGGCTTGAGCTTGCAATAAACTCCTCTTGCAATTGCATTGGACCTGACTCCTTGGTGGTCTTTGGGGACTTCGCGACTTGGGCACAACAATATAATGTTACAGGTGTCATGCTTAGACCACTGTTTCTCTGCTGTAAGAGACTGCTACCCTGTGAACTTCTGGCAGTATCTGGAGATATATTTTTATTTTCACTGCTGAAGGATGCTAGTGGCATCTAGTGGGTAAAGGCAATAGATGGTTCATTTTGGTCCAGTCTGGTCTGGTCTGGTCTGGTTTAGTTTGATTTGGTTTGGTTTGAGACAGGGTCCTGCTGTGTGGTTCAGCCTAGCCTTGAACTTGGTATGTAGCTGGCTTTGAATTTGATATGATTCACTTGCCTCAGCCTCCTAAGTGCTAGGGTTATAAGCATGCACCACCATGACAAACTCCATTTCTAAACATCCTACAATGCACAAGACAAACTCCACAACTAATAATCATCAGGTTCAAAATGTTAATACCATTACTGTTGAAAAGCCTTTGTCTAGAGAATAATGAATAAAAGACAAGAAGACATAACTGACAAAACAGAAAACTAGACCATGTAACTCAAGATCTTTACCATTAACTTTGGATAAAATAACTTGAGGAAACTACTAAGAATTTATTGTAGAACATAAATGCTAGACATGTATTTTGGCACATGTATTATGTTCCCTTGGTATAATAGCTCTATGAATCTGTAACACATAAGGGAGGAAATGAGACAGTTAAGTGTAGAGATCAGAACTGCTAGGAAGTTCTCTATCATTTTATACACATCATTAAAACTTGTAATAACCCAATTCAACAGATTTTTCATGTCTACTTTTGAAAAACAAAATTCTGATAAAATATTCCAGAAATGTGGAGGTAAGAATCCCTAATTTAAAAATTTCAAAGGACAGCTTTCTCTCCAAATATAGTAGTAATATATCATGGTGCTGTAAACTCCTTTACTAACCACAGAAATAAATCAATTTAAAGGTATCTTTTTAGGACCCAAAGTATTGAGATATATATATAGATATATATATATATATACATATATTTATATTGATATATAAATTTTTATAGTGAGGTTTGTTTGGTACACAGGATTCAGAAAAATCCATGTTAACAGATAAGGCTAGGATGAAAAGTTAGGGGAAGGTGATGAAAGTTCAAACCAGGCTAAGAAATTCATACATTAGTCTGATGGGAATGAGGAGGTACTATTTTTGAAGAAGGAAGTAATGTGATTGCTTAGAGGTCAAGGTTTTATGGTTTTGTCACTGTGTTGAAGGATTTAAAAGGTCAGAAAACTCACAACAATAATACCAGTCTGTAAGCTATTAATTGGCTGAAGTGAGATACAAAGGCCTATTCCAGAGTCTGGAGGTTACAAATGTATGTATGTAATGAATACAACACCACTGTTTATGGAATAAAGCCTTAGAGAAGTGTCAACAACAACAACAAAAATGAATAAAAAGAAAATAAGTTTAAAAATAAAATAAGCATGTGACACCCTAGCAACCCATATGGTGAGAAATAATGGATGAACCAGTTTACCTTTTGATTTCTTCTGAAGTGGTACCAGGGTACATGTCTTCTTAGTCTTCTTTATCCTGAGGAGTATATATTATTATAAAATCACTTGTATATGCATCTAGAATATATATTCACTTTCAAAGATACAAGAAGAGGCAAACAACAAATATACAGTGAAACACATTTGGTGGTTTTGATTTTTTATTTTTTAGTGCTGGGGTTCAAATCCAAGGCCTTGAACAGGCTAAACATAAACTCTACCCCTGAGCTACATCCCAGCACTAAACTAATTTATTAAAGGATGTCAAGTGGAAATTAGATAATGGATAAAGAAACTCTCCATTATAGCTAATCTGATCAAAAATCAATATCAACACACTCATCTTGGCTTTCCTAATAAATTTTACCATTGGATAAATGGGGATAAAACTCCTACAGGTTGTTTTGCTTTGTCTTGTCTGTCTTGTCTGTCTGTCTTGTCTTGTTTCTGGGTTTGTTTTTTTTTTGTTAGTTTTTTTTTTGTTTTGTTTTTTTGTTTATTGTTTTTTTGGTACTGGGGATCCAATTGCAAGGCAGGCATTGGAACCACTGAGCTAAATCCCTGGCCCATTGTCTTGTTTCTGTACACAGGACTGAACTCAGGGTCTTCCCACTGGGCTACATCTCCAGCTCTACCACCACCACCACCACCTCCTTTTTTGAGACAGGGTCTCACTTAATTGCCTAGGATGAGCTTGAATTCTGGATCCTCCTGCCCCAGCCTCCCCTCATGCTGGGATTATAAGCATGTGCCACCACTCACAGCTTCTACAAATCTTTATTATAACTTTTTGTGGTAGGGCTCAAGCAATGGTAAAAAGAAAGAATCGAGAGTAAGAGGTTATCTGGATGTGTCAGATACCAAGTGTTCCTTATTCATGCACTTTTAATCTATCAATCACTACAATCTAAAATTTATTGTAATTAATTTTTAAGGAAAGTTTTATTGGAGATAAGGAAGAGACAAGAAGAAAGAGAATAGCCCTTGGATTTCCAGGAAGGAACATTTATGGTGTGGCCCTATAACTAACTTTTGCTCCTACTGAAATAGACCTTGATATTAACAAGATTACTAGGAAAAACTCATTCTGATTGAATCTAGCATAAGAATTCCAGATTTTTTTATAGTCATGTTAAACTTTAAAAGTCAGCAGGAATTTTTAAATACTCTTGACCTCTGGGATTGCTATTATCAGTTATATTCCCAGAATGTAGTGTGAGATTCACTGCAAATTCCTGATCATCATTAAGAAATTTGAAGACATTAGACTTCTTTTTGAACTTTTTAAATCAAATATTCACATATGGAGGAAGAAAAACTAATTAAGGGGGTTATATACAAAACAAACAAACAAGAGTACTTCCCTCCTTTGCCAAGACTGGTCTTTCACAGGGCACTGTGCAATGTGCAGAGGGGAATAGAACACTTGTAGGCAACTTGATATGCTCACACTAGAATGGCTAAAATGAAGATATTTGTGTAAAGAAAGAACACTTGAATTTCTCAAACACATCATATACATTAGGTCACCTTGTCACCACTATTCCACTTTATCTACAAAGGATACTTGTCATAACATAAATAAAATTTATTTAAATTATCCTTCATTCAAGTCAGTGTAAAATGTTTAGAAATAATTTCCCATAAAAACAAATCACATGTAACTGTACTGTATACTTAGAATGTACCAATAAACTCATTGAAATTTTTTTAAAAAGAAAAAAAACAACAAATCACAAGGCTCAGGGATGTAGCTCAGTGGCACAGAGCCTGCCTGGCAAGCTTGAGGTCCTGAGTTCACTCCCTGGTTCCAAAAACAAACAAACAAACAAACAAACAAACAAAAAAGACAAAGCACAAATGTAAAACAAAAACAAAAAACTGAAATAGAGTAGATACAGCAAGAAGCAAAATGAAGCCTCAAAATTAAGAGGTAAAATGGATGCTATCAAGGGGTGCTTTCCAGGCTTCCAGCTCTGTCAAGATGAGCATGTGTTGAAGGGAGGTGACAAGACTGGTGTGCACTGAAACCAAGTCTATAGCCACAAGCAGCCCTCTACACTCATACCCCATCCACCCAAAGGACACCGTGGCCATGAACATGACAAGAGGGAGCTGAGTGTCAGGGACACTGGCATCTTGATAATGATGCAAACTGACTGTGCTCCGTAGGTTTTACATTCATGGTTCAAATGGTTCCTCTTCTTTCTACATCCTTGCTATTCTTCCTCTTTGTGGTGTGCGTGGGGGGTGGTTACTGGATATTGAATTCTGCGGCTCTCTGGGGGGACCCCGTCCAGCGGGGAATAGGAGGCGAGAGCCGCCTCTTATTCGTGGGTCATCAGAGGCCGATCCGATCTTGAATGTCTGTGAAGGAAATCTTTAAGAAGTTAGAGCACATGGCCCAAGTCTGATTTCTGATCAAAGGCTCTTTATTGGCTCAGCAAAACGATTATATACTGTTATCCCAGGGGGAAGGTTCAGCAAGCTTATTGGACAGTTCAAACAAATCTTCTACCAATCACATGAGTCACTCAAGCATTTAACCATAAAGGGACAAAGCATTTATCAGCATACAGCAATCAGTATTTTACCAAATGTGGGGAGGGGTAAGTGGGAAGGCGTACATCAACAATTAACCCTATGCAATCTTTAACTTAACAATCTCCAGGGGCAAGCGGGGCAAGGGGAAAACCAATTTTGATACCAAGATTCGTCCTTTTCCCGTTGCTTCTGCCTTTGTTCGAGGCTTTCCTCAACCCTTCTAATGCTATCATCCACCAGGCCCAGTTTATCTTTAAAAAAGCAACATTCTTAAAGAAGGGGGTTGGGGCCAATGGCAATGGGTTTGAACTGAGGTGGTTCTTTCAAAAGCCTGATGGAAAAGGTGAGACCCGGATCACGGCCGCTGATGTAAAGGCGAAGGCCCCACTCAACCTGAGGAGTCCAGTGGTATTGTTTGCCGGGCGTGGTGGTGCACGCCCATAATCCCATAAAACTAGTCTGGATTACAGTGAGTTTCAGGTCGACACCCGTAATCCCATAAACCCAGCCTGGATTACACAGTGAGCTTAGCCTGGATTACACAGAGAGCTCCAGGTCAATCTCATCTGCATAGCTGAGACCCTCATCTCAGAAAAGCCAAATAGAGTCATAGATTGTGTCAATGCCTCAATGGTAGAAGTTACTTTTCCAATGTCAAATGTCAGTGGGCTCCCACAGAATTCAATATACTCACACCAAGCTACATTTTCAACTCTTTACTTTTTATTTTTTGAGATAGGGTCTCACTAAGTCGATAAGTAGCCAAGGTTTGGCTCAAACTTTCAATTGTCCTGCCTCAGACTCCAAGAATGCTGGGATTATAGGAAAGCTCCAGCACACTTGGCTAAGAAATACAAAAGTCCACCAAAAAATGTGTAATATCAGAAAAAAAAAACTTGTATAAATATTTTATTTATTGAGATCATGAGATTAATACAAGTTACCTTTGGCTTCTACAATTACAAGAGGTGCTCAAAGTGGTGGCCATGAGCTTCCAGGCATTTATTAGTATGGCAAACTGCTAAAGTGTGCATACATTTTTGCAGGAGACTCTATATTCTAAGATTCAAAGCTTGAATGTTATGTATAATTGGATGACTAAAGTTCATTATCACAGGAAAATAATATGAAAATATAAATAAAGAAGGAAAGTTGCAACTTAAAATGGCATAAATGTTTCAATATTTAAGGTTAACAAAGAAAACAAGTACTAGACATTCTAAATTGTAACTTAGAATGCCATAAATACATCCAATTTTTAGGAAAGTGAACAAGTAGTAAGTATTCAATAACTAGCTGATAGATAAATAAACAAAAAAATAAATAAATAAATTGACAATGAACAGAATATGAGACTTTATTAACTATAGACAACTTACGATAGATCTATTTGGAGAAAGGTTTTCTTTTATTCTAGCCTGGTCTGATTTATAATAAGGAAGTGGGATTTTTTTCTAAATAGCAGTACCAAAATCAGAAAGACTTCTCTGGCTGAAAACTTCATTCCTGATAGTCAATATTGAGTTTTAATTAAGCCAGTATGTCATTCAGAATATTCCCTAGAACTACTTCAGTCATCTTAGAAATGAAACTCAAGAGTCTATACTCAGGGGACAGAAACCTGTTATACTGCAGAGAGTTAAAAATTTCAGTGCTAAATATTCCAGTGCTCTCACAGGCATAATCTAAGCAAGGGCAATTAAAACTTTTTAAAGGAAGTCTTTAACTCTTTTCTGGCAACATCACTTAAAAACAGAGAAAGGTGGCTACATGTCAATCTGAATAAAATGGCTAACAGATTTGAAAACTTAAATCTTCTATAGAAAAAATAATGGTAGGCAAGAAAGAATTAGATCATTGGGCAGAAAGATCTCTATAGTCATCATAATTACAACAAATGGATATCCAGCAAGAGTTGAATAGCAATGATCTACCTGATCGCAGGCATCTCCGTGTTAGCATGTGGTAGCTGTTTGTGAACCTCCATTGGAGTTGAACTTACATTCTTTTGGCAACTTGGTAATCTTGGTAAATGTGGCATTTTGACATGTTCTTTGGGCTCTTCTAGACCAAATGTTGTGGTGTATTCTAATTAAAAAATATTATCAAAATTTTCTTGGTCAAACGTATACTACTCCTTTTACTGTGTACTAAAGTGAATAATAACATGTAATGAAGCAGTCATTAAGTAAAGAAAATCAAGCAATTATAATTTATCTAGAGTTTTTTCCAGGAGATTATTTTTCAAGTTTTACCAAAGAGACTGTAGAGAGGAGTAGATCAAGTTGATTGATTACTAACCAGAATAAGGGAAAAAGGACAGCTTCCCAGATCTTCAACTGTCACTGTCTACTGCCTTCACTATTTTAATTCTAACTGTATCAGAATTAGCCCAGATATTAGCAACACATTTAAATAAAAAGCACCTTCAAGAGTCATAGAGGTAATTTAAAAAGAGTCATAGAGGTAAGGAGAGTGATTTTTATATTTTCTTTATTAATATCTGCTTATATGAAATTTTTTTAATTTAAAAAATAACTACTTGGAAAAAGTCTTGTATTATCTACTACTGTGACTCTTTCCATTTTCCTGCTTTTATGTACATAAGCAAGAGGTATAAATATATGATGATCCAAGCTAACAATGATAGACTGTCCTGGTTCACAACCATGGCGTGGTACAAAGGATGAGAGATTACAGAGTCATGTCCAAGAGGGACCTCTCAGCGTGAGAGAGTCTCAGGGAAAAAAAAAGCCCCAAGTTGAGGCTTTTGTGTTTTTTTTATGGTTAGAGCCAGGAAGTAAAGATAAAGGACAGAAGGACACCTCTGTAGGAATTCATGCAGGGGACAGGGTGGTCTGCCACATGACTGACCTTAGGGCCAATCTAAGTAATAAATCAAAGTACGGAGAGGAGGACAAGGGCCAGAGGATTCATTCTTTAAATCAGCGTGTTTTGGTGTTTGTTTATTTGTTTGTTTGGTACTGGGGATGAAACTTAGGACCTGATGCTTGTGAGGCAGGCACAGCAACACTGAGCTAAGTCCCCAGCCCAAGGCAGTGTGTTTTGATCTTGCTTGGGATTGTGGCCCTGTAAGCTATCTTGTCATCTTTAACCATGTGTTCAGGGAGATTGGGGCATAAGCCCCCACAAAGCCCCAAAAATCCCTTATGTCCACATATCCATTTCACATATACCTCTGGCCAATATCCCCACAAGAGATAAAAGAATTTTACCTAGGCATTAATTTTCTCTCCACCAAATGTTATACTAAATCTATAAATAGCAACTTCGAAGCATCTAGATTGCCTCTTCTACTGACCTCACATATCGATAGACCAAGAGATCGTCAAATTATTTTTAAAAATACAAAACAAAGGCATTAAATGGATAAAGTAGACTAAGATATTAAAGGTCTGTGTGTCAAACACAGAACATTGTTTTGGTAAGCTTCTCTAAATCTGGCAGAGCAGCATATACTTAGCAAGACTAAGTTATCACATTAAGTATTCAAAATGCTATTTTGCAACCTTTTTTTTTTTCCTCTTTTGGAAAAAAATATTTTCTCTTTCTCAGAAACATACATTCACTTTTTAACATTAGATTTGGAGAGCTGGAGCTTAAAACTAGTGTCTTCGGAGTATCTTTCATGGAACCTGATAAGATATCTATCTATATCTATCTATCTATCTATCTATCTATCTATCTATCTATCTATCTATATGTATATGCATAGCACACACTCAAAATAAGGAGGAACTGGGCACAATGGCACACATCTGAATCCCAGCACTCTGGGAGGCTGAAGCATGAGGATCCCAAGTCTGAGCCCCACCTTGGCAACTTTGAGACTTAGAGGAGACCCTGTCTTAAAAAGGGGAAGGGGTTTGGAAAGGTGGCTCATTACAAAGGCTTTGAGTTTAACACCAAGTACCACAAAAGCAAAACAAGGGATGAAACTGAAATAGTTTGAATTTTGCTATTTTGAAAAATTCTATTTCCATAGCAAACTTGAAGGCAGAATTCAAAATAAACAAAAAATACAATCACAACCTGAAAATAAAGGGGGACCCTGTCTTTACTAAGTAACTACAGGATATAGGATACTCTCCAGATTGTTTTTTTTTTTTCAGCTTTCAGTTTATTGGTACATTTTAGGGATACAGTACAGTTACATTCATTGTTGGGATCTTGTACCTCTACATGACAAGTCTTGATTCTCATTTTTTCC